ACTGCTTATTCTTTATATATATTATAGCTACACCAAAGCCAACATAACAGCAAGATTGGTAAGAATTTAATGCTGGCATCTTAATTTTCTTTTTTTTAAATGCGCCAGGGTAGTTAGGAATGAAATTCCCAGTGACTTTTAGGGGAAACTTAGATTCCCTGAGTGCTTAGGTGCTTTAAAGATGATTCTTTAAATCCAGTAACATGAACTACGAAAGAAATTAACAGTGATTTGCTAAACAGTTTGACAACCACAGTAATTCAATATTAGTTCAGCCTGTCTAGTACCACTGAAGCGAGAGGAGAAACACGCCAATTATCAACCACATATCTTCAGGTATGAGACAGCCTGTGCTCCACGGTTGGCATGGTTTGTTAATCCTTCCTTCAGGCTCCTCGCACGGCGTAGCAGTGAGACCACAGCCCGTGTGTAGGCACACTGTCCTGGAATAGCTCTGAGTCACGCTGCCGGAGAAGAAAGCCGGCTTTGTGGTACGCGCCGCGGCAGCGCCGGCACCCCCTCTGCCTCCTGGGCCTCTGATGAGGATGCAGCTTCGTAAACTCCTCTCTCTGAGCCAGCTTAGCTCAACAGACCAGGACAGAGTGGGATAGATGCCAGTCTTCCCCTGCTTTCCTGCTTGCTCCCTCTGCCACCATTTCAGTCAGAGAGGCACAAATGCTTATCCCCGTTGTGTTTGCCTACACCGCAGTCCGTGGTTTTGTATTGGCAGCAGTACCACTAGCAGTACAGGTCACTGTAGGTGACGTGTAATTTGGAATTGATTACTGCTGTGAGAACCTGTCTGCTTTTATATGGCACACAATAAAAGATGTAAGGTTGGGTGTAGCAAATACTGTCCTTCCAGTACCTAAAGGGGGCCTAGAGGAAAGCTGGAGAGGGACTTTTTCCAAGGGCATGTAGTGACAGGACAAGGGGCAATGGATTTAAACTGAAAGAGGGCAGATTTAGATTGGATCTAAGGAAGAAATTTTTCACTCTGAGGGTGGTGAGGCACTGGCACAGGTTGCCCAGAGAAGTTGTGGCTGCCCCATCCCTGGAAATGTTCAAGGCCAGGTTGGATGAGGCTTTGGGCAACCTGGTGTAGTGGAGGGTGTCCCTGCCCATGGCAGGGGGGTTGGAACTAGATGATCTTTGAGGTCCCTTCCAACCCAAACCATTCTAAGATTCTATGATTCTAAATCTGGTGGCATCAGCAGAGCATGGCAGTGTTGCCATTTATTTACGTGTATGCCTGCTGTTTCCCAAATCAAGAATTTTGTCCTTCACCATTAAAATGTTTTCTTTCTGGGACTTGAATGTGACAAAAGTGGAAGGAAGCACTCAGCTTCATATTGCGTCAGCTGTCAAGCTAAAAGGTATTTATTTACTTTGGGAAGCTGGCATGAGTCATTCTGAAAAGTTTATAGAAATTGTTTTCATCATAATATGGAACAGGCTCTTATTACACAGTATACATGTCCTGTGCTCTGAGAGTTTCTCAGGAAACAAATAACAAAGTGGTTTAACAGATTATTTTTATCAGTGCTTCATAATCAATACTTTTCTCTATAATTGTTCAAGATAACTGTAACCAGTTCTACCTCGTCTATCATTGTCCCTTCTGGGGTTTTTTGCCATTATCCCTCCACACAGTCGTGGGTACTAAATATCATTTGGGTTATTTGGGAGTCCTGCAATAGGCAGCACAGCAGTAGCAGTGACTGCTCACTTGTGACTTCTGTTTTGCAGCCAAAGTGCTGAGGTAGGGAGTGACATTGGTATATTAAGTTTTCCTCTTCTGAAGTAAAGGGAATAGATGAATGAAGCCAGAATCTTTTAGGAAAGATGGTTAAGTGCCAGGAGACTCTGGGGCTGAAGTACTGGAGGGCTGAAATCATTGGCAATCCTTTAGGCAATTTCCATGCTTCTGCTAAAAATAAATGCCATAATAAAGTTGTGCCTCGTAATGTACCCGAGATATACAGCAAAAGCCTGCTAATGCACATCCACCTCCTGAGGCTGTTGCCATATGTTAAACACTCCACAGAGATAAAAGGAATGTTAGGAGGAACTCAGCATCTCTGGGAGCCAGGGAGGAGCAACCCGGCCAGGGATATCTGGAATTTCTCTGCTAAAATACATCCACTGGGGAAAAAACAGGCCAAGCCAGCAGGTAGTCATATTTTTATCTTTTTCTCCAGCAACATGTTACCAGTAAAACAGCAAATATGGCAAGTAAAAAGAAAAAGTGTACTGGTATTCATCAAAAAAAAAAAAAAGAAAACACAACAAAAATCCCGCCAACCAGGGAATGTGTATTTCTATTTACACATTTCTTTACATCTGCAACAGTGACATGTGTGGAGCATTGAGTTCACGTTCATGATTTCTTTAGGAGTACTGCGTCCAGTTCTGGAGCCCCCAACATAAGAAGGACATGGACCAGTTGGAGAGGGTCCAGAGGAGGGCCACGAAGATGATAAGAGGACTGGAGCACCTTTCCTATGAGGACAGGCTGAAAGAGTTGGGGCTGTTCAGCCTGGAGAAGAGGAGGCTCCGGGGTGACCTTATAGCGGTCTTCCAGTACCTCAAGGGGGCCTACAAGAAAGATGGGGAGAGGCTGTTCAGGAGGGCCAGTTATGATAGGACAAGGGGTAGTGGTTTTAAAATAGAGGGAGGTAGGTTCAGGTTGGATATTAGGAAAAAATTTTTTACTATGAGAGTGGTAGAACACTGGAACAGGTTGCCCAGAGAGGTGGTGGATGCTCCCTCCCCGGAGACGTTATTCATCAAAAAAAAAAAAAAGAAAACACAACAAAAATCCCGCCAACCAGGGAATGTGTATTTCTATTTACACATTTCTTTACATCTGCAACAGTGACATGTGTGGAGCATTGAGTTCACGTTCATGATTTCTTTATGAGGTTTGGACTTTTCTTTTTTCATTTTTTTCCTAGGCTGAGAGATCATTTTCTGATGCCAGCTCTTTTAATGCCATTTCACTAATGAGAATACTTCCGAATCATTGGTTGGGGTTATTCAGTTTTCAGAATGATGTCTGACAGAAAGAGGTTTAAATCTGCCATTAAAGAGCAACATCTGTACACTAAGCTGCAGTTTTATACTGTACCAGACTAGGCACCTCTGGAATCATAGAATCATAGAATGGTTAGGGTTGGAAGAGACCTTAAGGATCATCTAGTTCCAACCCCCCTGCCATGGACAGGGACACCCTCCACTACACCAGGTTGCCCAAAGCCTCATCCAACCTGGCCTTGAACACTTCCAGGGATGGGGCATCTACAACTTCTCTGGGCAACCTGTGCCAGTGCCTCACCACTCTCAGAGTGAAAAATTTCTTTCTTATATCTAACCTAAATCTGCCCTCTTTCAGTTTAAATCCATTGCCCCTTGTCCTATCACTACACACCCTTATAAAAAGTCCCTCTCCAGCTTTCCTGTAGGCCCCCTTTAAGTACTGGAAGGCTGCTATAAGATCGTCCTGGAGCCTTCTCTTCTCCAGGCTGAAAAGTACAACTCTGAGCTGTCATCATGGGGATGACTTTCTTGA